GCTACCATATTCTGTTCTCTCCCACCCCCCACCCCCAGCTCCCAGCCAAGGGCTACAGCATCTCTCCGGGAAAAACAGGCTGCCAGTAGTTCTCAGTCTCCCAGCTTTGTATAGCCGAGGCTAAATTCCAGGAGAGCTGGAGGCTCACTTCCTCTGCTCTGCACCCATTCATTTCTACCCCGACTTCAGCAAGCCAAGAATACTGGGGCCTCAGTTCTCAGTGCATCTTGCTCATAGGGCAGAGGTTTTATGCCAGGAGACGCAAGCTGAAAAAACCAGAGTGAACTGTCCCTGCCCAGTCCCCTGTTCACAAAGCAGGAGTGTCATTCCAAGAGAAGGGCCACTGTGCCCAAACCCAGCTACAGAGCAGTGGCTCAGAGATTTTGCCCAAGGGAAGAAGCAGGCCATCAGAACATTGAGCTCTAAAACCCTCCCCAAAGGAAATGACTTTATTTGGAACAGAGCGTGGAGAAATTCAAGCCTGAGAGCACTCTTGGAAATAGTGATTTGTTGAGAAGGCCAGTATTATGCAGATAGGAAAAAAAAAAAAAAAGACATCATAAGAAAACTAAAAATCTGTATGAATATCGATATAAAAATCTTCAACAAACTCTACCAGCTTGAATCCATCAGTACAGAAAAAGGACTGTACATCATGACTAAGTGCAATTTATCCCAGGCATGCAGTGTTGGTTTAGTTTTTGAAAATCAAGTAATGTAATATACCATACCAATAGAATAAAGGACAAAAATCAGTCATCCTTTGTTAAAAACACTCAACACGTTAGGAATGGAAACAAACGTCTTTAGCCTAATTATGAGCATCTGTGAAAACCCACAGTTGACATCATACTTAATGGTGAAAGACTGAATACTTTATCCCTAAGTATAGGAACAAGACAAGGATGTCTTTTTTCCCTCAGTTTTGTTCAGTATTATGCTGGAAGTTCTTACAGTAGTGCAATTAGGCAAGAAAATAAAAGACATCCAAATTGGAAAGGAGGAAGTAAAGCTGTATTTGTAGATTATGTGATCTAACAGATAAAAATTCCAAGGAGAACACACACTATATGGAACTAATAACTTCAGCAAAATTGCAGGATATTGGATGGAGGGGATAGGGTAACTGGGTGATGGGCATTAAGGAGGGCATGTGATGTGATGAGCACTGGGTGTTATATGCAACTAATGAATCATCGAACACTACACCAAAAACTAATGATGTACTGTATGCTGGCTAATTGAATTAAAATAAAATAAATTAACTGTATTTCCATATACTTTCAATGAATAATCCAAAAATGAAAGCAAGAAAATAATCCCATTTACAATAACATTAAAAAGAGTAAAATAGAGGGGTGCCTGGGTGGCTCAGTTGGTTGAGCTCTTGATTTCTTCAGCTCAGGTCATGATCTCAGGGTTCTGGGATCAAGCCCCACATGCGGCTCCGTGCTTAGTGGGGAGTCTGTTCGAGGATTTCTCTCCCTCTCCCTCTGCCCCTCCCCCGCTTGCACACTTTCTGTAAAATAAAATCTTAAAAAAAGAATAAAATAGGAATAAATCAGAAGGACAAAACTAGAGAAGACCTAAATAAATGGTAACAAATTCCATGTTTATAGATTGGAAGATTCAATATTAAGATGGCAGTGCAGTATTTCCAAATTGAGCTACAGATCCAACACAGTCTCTACCAAAAATCAGGGTGGCTTTTTTTATAGAAATTGACAATCCTATACTAAAATTCGAATGGGTATTTAAGGGACCCAGAATAGCCCAATCTTGAAAAAGAACAAAGTTGCAATAAAGAAAGTGGGATATTGGGGTACCTGGGTGGCTTAGTTGGTCGACTCTTGATTTTGGCTCAGATGATCTCACGGTCCTGAAATTGAGCCCAGTGTCGGGGTCTGCACTGGAGTGTGGAGCCTGCTTGGGATTCTCTCCCCCTCTCCCTCTGCCCCTTTCTGCTTGCACTCTCTCTTTCTCTTTAAAAAAAAAAAGAAAAGAAAGTGGGATACTGGCATAGGGAGATATCTATCTATGTCAATAGAATAGAGCTGAGTTTCCAGAAATAAACTCTCATATGTATAGTCATTTGTCTTTCAACAAGAGGTCCAAGACCATTCAGTGGATAAAGAGTAGTGTTTTTAACAAATGGTGCTGGGAGAACTGGAGCATCATTCAAAAAAACAAAAAAAACCCCTAAGTTGGAGCACCTCCTCCTATTATACGTAAAAATGAACTCAAAATGGATCATAGATCTAAATGTAAAAGCGAAAGAACTCTTAGAAGAAAACATAGTAAACATTCATGACTTTGTATAGGACAGACCTTCTTAGATACAACACCACCAAAAGCACAAAGAAAAGAAAAAGTAGATAAATTGGACTTAATCAAAATAAAAACTTCTGTGCTGAAAAATAAACCATCAAAAAAAAAATGTTAACGCATAGAAGGGGGGAAAGATGTGCAAATAATAAAACTTAAAAAAAGATTTATACTCAAAATGTATAAAGAACTCTTACGACTCAGCAGTAAAAAGACAACCCATTTAAAAAATGGGCAAAGGGGCGCCTGGATGGCTCAGTTGGTTAAGCGACTGCCTTCGGCTCAGGTCATGATCCTGGAGTCCCGGGATCGAGTCCCACATCGGGCTCCCTGCTCAGCAGGGAGTCTGCTTCTCCCTCTGACCCTCTTCCCTCTCGTGCTTTCTCTCTCTCATTCTCTCTCTCTCTCAAATAAATAAATAAAATCTTTAATAAAAAATAAAAAATGGGCAAAGGATCTGTTTTAGTTCATTCTGGCTGCTATAACAAAATACCACAGACTGGGTAGCTTATGAACAACAGAAATGTATTTCTCACAGTTCTGCCAGCATGGCAATTCGGGGCCCTCTTCCAGGTTGCAGACTTCTCATTATATCCTTTCATATGGCAGAAGGGATGAGGGAACTCTGGTACCCCACCCCCCCTCCTTTTTTTAACAGGCACTAACCCATTTATGAGGACTCTGCCCTCATGACATGTTGCCTCCCAAGGCCTCAACTCCTAATACCATTATATTTGGTATGAGGTCTTTCAACAGAAGAATTTTGGGGAGACAAACATTCAGACCGCAGCAGGATCTGCATAGACAGTTCTCCAAATATACAAATGGCCAAAAGCAAATGGAAAGATGCTCAGTATCACTAGACATCAAAAACATGCAAAACCACAACAATAGAACACATCACACTTACTAGGTAGTCCATAATCGGAGGGATCAGATACTAACAGGTGTTGGTGAGGATATAGAGAAATTGGAACCCTCAGACACTGCCGAGTGGAATAAAAAGTAGCTGCTTTGGAAAACAGTTTCACAGGTCTTCAAAATGGCAGAGTTATCACGAGACACAGCAATCTCAAGAGAAATGAAAACATACGTATGTATAAAAATTAGTACACTGTGCTTAGCAGCATTTTTCTTATAGCCAAATAATGGAAACAGCCATCCACTGAGGAATGGCTAAAGTAGGGTACATCCATACAATGGAATATTTAGAAATAAAATGAATACTGATACATACTACAATATGGATGAATTCAAAATTATAGAAGCCAGTCACAAAACACAAAAGTATGATTCCTTTTTTATGAGTATTCAGAATAGGCAAATCTGTGGATACAAAGTAGATTAGTGGTTGCCTAGGGCTGAAGGGTTGGGGAGATAGAGGAGGGACTGCTAATAGATAGGTTTCTTTGGGGGATGATAAAAATCTAAAATCGATTGTGGTGATGGTTGCACAACTTCATGAATATACTAAAAAATCACGGAATTGTACACTTTTAAGTGGGTGAACTGAATGGTTTGGGAATTATTTCTCAATAAATGTTAATTAAAAAACTGAACTATAGGAGAAATAGTGAAGTTGCAGATTATATTTGGGTTAGGTTCTAAAATCACAGCATAGCATAAAAAACAAATATATCCAAAAGTCATCATGGAGCAGAGCTAGAATCAAAACCCATAGCAGCCAATCAGTATTTCCTCTTGTAATGGAGAACTTTGTTATTTGTTTGAACGCAAATGAAGTTCTACTAGTTGCCTTTATTAAGAGGCTGTGTTGAATAAAAAATACGATAGCTTGTTTTATGACAGGCACTCTAAATGAGGCCGACTAGGGAGCTACTGGGTACATATTCCCATCTCAGCTAATATGGGTATAAATAAAATTGTATGGTTACTGGAATTACCTGCAGTATGAAAGTTTTCCCTTTTTTCTGTGCCAAGCGCACTTTGATTTTTTTTATTTTTTTGAGAGAGAACATGAACAGGGGAAGGGGTAGAGGGGGAGGGAGAGAGACTCTTAAGCAGGCTCCACACTGAGCGTGGAGCCCCATGTGGGGCTTGATCTCACCCTGAGATCATGGCCTGAGCCGAAACCAAGAGTTGGATGCTTAACTGAGCCACCCAGGCGCTCCGATTTTGTGTATTTTTAATGTTAGCATGATTAAATCCTAATATATACTCAAGCACTTTTGTAATTTATGAAATCCATATAAATATGTTCTTAATTCTGGAATTATCCTTGTATCAACTAGGATTATACTCTGCTATATTTAATAGCAAATAACAGAAGCTTAAACAGGTAAAGATTCTTTCACATAAATAAGTTGTGAAATAGGCACTCCAGGACTGAGAGGCACCTCCTGTCATCAGCGACCCAGGCTCCTGGTGGTGTGTCTCACTTTTCCATCAGTTGCTTCATGGTCACAAGATTGCTGCTGGAGTACAAGCTATCACATCCCAGCCTGAAGAAGGAACCCTGCATTCAGGGAAAAGGCGAAGGGACAGGACTTTCCTATCCAAAGAAAGCAGGAAAAATATTTTTTAGCTGCTCACATTGACACATAATTTTACTGGTAAGGGGAAGGCGATGTTGAATAAAAGACTAGAAAATGCTACAACTCTGGGAAAAAAACTTTTTTTTAATAATTAGAGTATTCTTACTGTGTTATTACTAGATTCTGAAAAGAAATTGTCTCTCCTATCAGAGGAACAAGAAGCCACAAGCACTTTAGTAGAAACCATCAGGCAGAGTATTCAACATAATGATGTTCTTAAACCCATCAATCTACTTTCACAGCTAATAAAGCCAGACATGAAAAGACAAAGGTAAGAATCCAGTTTTTGCTTCATGCCACTCAAGATAATTTCATGTTTAAGTATTATTTTTAAAATATCTCTAGTTGTAAATGTTCATACTTGAGCAAACATTACAAAAGTTGTGTGTGGAGGAATAAATTTTAGGAAGTCATTCATTCATGTCTAAAATGTAGAGTCTTTGGGAAACATTACTGCTCTTCGCCGGCCGCCCTCTATGAATTTGTTAGCAGTGACGTTATCCATCTGTACTAGTTCAGGCCCTGTCATGCCTGCGCGTCTTATCTTTTATTTTCTTGTGGGACATTAAAAAAAAAAACCTGTTTAGGAATAGAAGCAATTTAGGAAAGCAATGGAAACAGCAAATTACAAAGGCTGTGGAGCTTTCCTGATCCTCTTACTGTTGTCCGCTAACAGGCTTAGATCAGTACTCCTCCCAGTCTCAGTATAAGTGAATTTTGCAGGGGAAACTTCAGAAAAGGTGGCATAATAAATGCTACCAAATACTAACAGTTTCCAGATCCTCTACAAGTTTCTTTGGTCATGGCATCTTTGAAGATAACCTCAGAAGTGATAGAGCGTGAACTGATGATGAAAATGAATGGATCCTTTTGTAATCTCAACAGTTGAGATAGAGATGACCTTCACAGTCTAAAGAGCAGCTAGTTTCAAGCATCTGTAGTTCAAAGGGAGGAAGGAAATGAGAGATACGTTACAACTTCTGAAGCTTCTAAACAAAGCTATATATGAAGCATTATCAGAATTAGCATTACTCTGTAATGTTTTTTCTACGTTAAGTACTCGGAAATCAGTTCATTTCTTCAGCTTTTCTTCATTTTTAACTGAGCTATGAAGCTCATTTTTAAGGTTTAATTTGTGACACTTTTATGTTCACAAACCAAATGTTGTTTATCCTTTATTATCGGGTTAAATAGTAAAGAGACCACACCACTTTTCAGTGTCCAAGGGTTTTAGATCCCTAACTTAAAAATTAATGAGAGGAGACTGCTTTTGCAAATTTTAATTGCAAAGTAGAGTTAAAACAGTTAACCTGTTATAGTTAACCCTTGAATGACCTCCTCATGCAATTGATAATCTGTGTATAATTTTTGACTACCCCGAAACTTAATAGCTGTTGACCAGAAGTCCTAACAATAACATAAATAGTTAACACATTTTGTATGTTGTATTATATAACGGATTCTTACAATAAAGTTACTAGAGAAAATACCTTTACAGTACTCTGCTGTATTGGGGAAAATAAACCAACATACAGGTGGACCCATGAAATTCAATCCCATGTTGTCCAAGGTCAACTGTATTTATATTGTTAAAATATTATAGAAGTCAAAATAAGCCATTTAGTGTTTAGTCTTATGTCCATAGCTTTTTCATTTGAAATAGAAATTCAAAGTAAGTTGCAAAGAGTAGCACAGAATTCACCATACTTTTCACCCAACTTCCCCTAAAGGTGACATCTTCTAACTGTAGTGTTACATCAAAACCACAACACGGACATGGATACATTACTGTTAACTAGACTATAGAACATAATCATTTTTCACCATTTTACAAAACCTTCATGTGTGTATTTTTATGCTCTGTGCCCATTAACTTTAAAAACATTTGTTTTATAGGAGTTTATACCGAGAAATCCTCTTCTTATCATTAGTATCTCTTGGAAGAGAGAATATTGACATTGGTAAGTTGGTTACTTATTACTAAAGGTTTTTTCATTTTCTAAAGTAATTTACAAAGTTGTAATTGGTATGCTGCCCTTACCTTTCCAAAGATTTCTACTTTTAGATATGCAGTTTATAGATATACATGAAATTACCATTTTTCAACTTAAGACTTTTTAACAAATTGTAACTGCATTTTTGAAAATGTCTTTCAGAGGCTTTTGACAATGAATATGGACTTGCATACAATAATCTATCTACAGAGATTCTTGAAAAGTTGCAGAAAATTGATGCTCCACCAAGTATCAGTATGGAATGGTGCAGGAAGTGTTTTGGAGCACCTCTCATTTAAATAAGATGTTCACTAGATTTTCGACAAAGCTTGAGGGAATAGATTCATTTGGCAAACATTTAAGGTTTGTTCCAAATGCTAACAATTGATGAAAGGGAAATGAAGTTAACTCTTGGGACAGTATGTAATGAAATGTAATTCATACGGAATCATCTCGCGATGTAAAAACGTTATAAAAATGCCCCAGGGTTAGTATCTGAAGGTTTGCAACTTCTGAATGGCTCATCTGCCTCTGCTTGAGAACTGTTTTTGGATTTCTCATTATATGTAGGTTGATAATGCGAAACTATATTCATTCTTGGCATTTTGTTTATATTTGAAGTTGTTGGTCTTGGGGAATAGCAGTTTAATGTAAACTTGCCTAACCCCAAAACAAATGAAATCTCAATTATAAGAGCAACTCTTTGTGTATGTGTGTATATATGTGTGGCTGTGTAGGTATTTGTATGTACAGCCATATTATATTTATTAAAATTCTTAGACTGCGTGTTGCAATACAATTTTCTGAAAGGGGTCTGCAACTATTAATCAAAATTACCTTGAAGTCTGACGACAGCCTTGCCTTTCTTAATCCATATTATGTATTCTCTTCCTTAGTGGATTTTATCTTGACTATCCAAGATATTTTCATCCTTCTCCCAATACTGTTAATTTGCAACAGCTTTTAAGATTGGAATAAAGGAGCCAATCACATAGTTTAAATGAAATTAAATCACCCTCATAATTTACAAAATTGGAACATGCTTAAAATGCTCATGTTGATTTTTTGTACCTGAAATTGTTCAGGTACATAAATTGTTGCTATTGGTCACTTTTAAAAACCTGTGGGATAAACTTGCACTGCACACAGAAATTTTATTCTTATATATTTAATTTGTATGCTTATTTTTTGTGCATTTGTAAATAGTTTTTTAGGATGGATCAATTAAGTCTTAAAATGTTAAAAGCTTCTTGAGCTTCTTGCCAGTAGGTTCAAGAAAATCATGACCTCACATGCTTGACATTTATCATGTCTTTCATTAAAAACAGCCCTTAGGAACAGTTAAGTTTGCCTTAACTCTTTGCAAGGTTTAAAAAACCAATGGTTATGTGTGCTTTTAGAGTAATTATGCAGATGACCGAAATCAGTTCTTAAAAATTTATTTCCAGGTGGTACAGTTAACAGCACAAATCTCCCACCTGGTGTAATCTTTTAAAAATTGTTACTGTACCAGTCTTTCAACATTTCAGGGCTAATCTAACCTATGCAGATTTCAATTTATTATGAAATTACTGAGTGAAAGAACTTGTCAGAAATTATGTACAACTCTCATTACCTTAAAAATGGATCATTTGCACTATCTCAAGAGTATATATTTTTGCAACTTAATATTTGGTACTTAACACTTATTGCCCCAACAAAGTTTGGAATTACCTTGCATAAAAGCTTGAGGATGAATAAAATGCAAAATTGTTAAGTTTGCTGTGCTTGTCTCCATCACATCTTTAAGGCTCCTGAAATGTGTACAATTCTGACCTTTGTGATTTTTAGAGTTCCAATATTGTTTTTCCACTTCTTGGTAGTCTTCATTAACTTGAACTAAATTACTTACCAGAGCACTTCCTGGTAATAAGTGTAATGAAGATTTCCTTACACATTTAAGATTTGGTTATACTGTACCAAAGTATACATTTTCTAGTAACTTTTTATAACATTCTAAGTAACTCAGCCATTATACATTGGAAACCTTAGCCTGCTGCTTTCATTTAGAAATAGGGACTGTTTTGTGTTAAAAGTGCATAAAGGCCTTTTCTAGCACCTACCACAGAAAGGGGACCACTAAAAATTTACTGCGAACAAAACCAGGCCAGATACACAGTCATTATCCATACATTTAGAAAGATCTAGAATGACTCGTAGCAATGTATGAAACTTAAAAGCCTGAGAACTTCTGCAATCTTTCAAATTAGTCCAGATATTTAGCATTACCTTATACTAGTTTTGGATAATCTGATTTGATTTTGGCTGCATTTTGTAGATTATAGCAACCTACATGGTTAAGACTTAACTATGTAAGCATAATATAAGCATAAATGACTCCTTTAATTGTGGGAGAGTCAGTTGTTGCTCTTAACTTCATTCTTGGTACAAACTAGTAATGCAGGATTAAACATTCTTACCATTCAAATACTCTCCAGCATCCCCCCTTTTTGAAAAGTAGCTCTCCATCTTAAATCTGCCAGAATAAGGTAGAACAGCCTAGCTCAGCCATTATCTGTCCACTTTAGTGACTGCACTCTTTGATACAAGAAAGCATAGCGGTGGTGCTCATGTTGTGTTAAAATCAACCAGGTACTGGTTAGTACGTTAACTCTGGCCTATATACCAGACCTGCCTTCCGGCCTTTTAAGTTACCCCTATGACTGCGTGTTTATTCCTTTTTATTTTGCGTTATCACTTATAAATGCTGCATTTTCTCTTTCTGCCTTTTTAGTTCAATCTTAATTTCTATAACACCAATTGCCAATTTACAGTTTTTCATTTTCTGTAACTTTTTAATACCATGTATTAAGAGCAACATGGATCTCCCTTTTGTCTAAGTCTTCTCAGCTAGTCCAGTCCGAGGACTGGCATTATTGACATTACCTGGAAACTTACTAGTATGTAGATTCTGGGGCCACAAATCTTCTGAATCACAATCTACATTTTGGTCAGATCTGCACGTGATTGATAAGCACACCTTCAAGTGCAAGCACAGCTTGTCTCTGTATGTTAAAGCAGTTGAAAATTTTACTCACCTGTGGTTAAAACGTATTCTCCAGCAAATAAAGAACTCCCCTTCTTCACCCTTAAAGCCTGATGTGCCTTTTTAAGAGCCTTCTAGTCTGTAAAGGTTAGTTCTAACTGCAGTTTCTATAGAAACTAGACAGGCTACATTAGAAAACGGTATACTTTCTTTGTGCATCCTTCATCAATCCAAGTGTTTCTTAAAGGCAGTGTGAAACCATAAAATGCACGAGTAACAATTCACTAGAGTTGAAAAGCTTTTGTTAATACAATTTGCACTGGTTTTGAAAGCTTTTGTGAACTGTTTTAAAATGTTATCTGTTAACTATGCTTTTAACAAGGTATTTTTACATATGACAAATGTCCATCTTAAGGGCACTTTTCATGTATTGTGTATGGATCTTTAAAACTGTATTCCTCAAAATAAAGTGTACGAAAAGGTGAATTGTCCTAGTCCTTTTATTTCCACCAAATTGTTCCATGCCTTGCTGAAAAATAGGTACCTTCTGCACAGAATCCTTTCCTGAGCCACCCACCCATCTCAAAAGAAACCCTGTATTGGCCATCTCTCCCAGTTACAGTATGGTCTCTGCCTCTCACCTTGAAGGTATCACTTTCAAGTATCTCTAGAACACTTAATACACCATCATATTGCCATATACGATATTCCCTTATCTCAGTTTTCTCTCCATTTATCTATGTTTTGTCATCAATGAGAAGTCAATAAAGGAGATCTGATGTCTGATCGTATTTATTTGTCACTCATAGAAAATCTCATTTTTGACTGGACTCAGACTTAGAGGTAGAAGCTCTCAGAGAGGACAGCCTCCGTCTCTTGGCAATCTGTTCCTGGCGTTTTTCTTTGGCCTCCTAAAAAAAAACAAAAAAGCAGTTACAGATTGTCTGGCTTAAAAATCCAAAGACAGGCCTGATTTCCCACCCCCAGTCTTCTTGACTTACCTTCATTCTCTTGGCCAAAAGTTTAGCATATTCTGCAGCCTCTTCCTTATTTTTCTTAGTGCGCTGCTTCTTCAAAGCAATACGCCGCCGTTTGTGCTGGAGGACTCGTGGAGTAACAAGACGCTGAATCTTAGGCGCTTTGGTTCTAGGTTTCTTCCCTGAAAATTCAGATGATGATTCAAACACTTCTCAAGAATACCCGTGTTCATTAGATCTACATTTTAAAAACATTACTAACGGGACTACTGTAGGAAAACTTACCTGTATGAGGCCTTTTAAGTCAAATCTAAACTACTGTATAACTTAAACTTCCTACCCTGTCAACAGAAAGCCAAGATGGGCTAAATATTCTCAAAATAGAAACTGGTAAGTCCTTCTGAAAAGTGAAGAGATTAACTTTGTCTACTAGGTGCCAGTGTTTTCCTGATTAGCAGGGAATGGCTCATTAAACTACACCACTAATGTGGATGTCAACTTCAAGACCGTATGTAAACTTAGGCTACTCTGCTTGGGGGAAGTCATACCCCAAGCTTTTTTCTACTCAACTTTGATTTCCCTTCCACAATTACATTGTCTTTGTAGGGTATATTTTGTACTCTTAAGACACAGGAGCATTAGTTTAAAACTCTATTAACTGTGCCTGTGTAACTGATCTATGAAAACTAAGCTCTATCTGCACCACTACCCTAACCACACTGTGAAATCCCATTTACGCTTGCATCTGGTATTTGCCAAGGCAGATCCTGCCAACCTGGGGAACAAAACCATTAACATTAAAATGTGCAGCAGTGTTCAGAGTATCTTTCACTTAGCCTGTGTGCTCTGTAAGTCCCAAATCCTATGGATTATAGATCTGCTTTGGAGCAGATGTCTCTTTAGATGTAATCAGTTGAGTTTGTAGACACCTAGTGAAAGTAACTAATAGTTCAAATATTCTAGAACTAAGTAATTGCTCAGCTTTTGCTAGAAATCAAACACCTTAATTATAAAGATATAAGAACCATGCTATAAACACCTGTTAACCAGAACACTTACTACACTGATACTGCCAGTGGTGTTGATGTTGGCCAACTGCCATTTCCTTCTTTTTTAAAAAAGATTTTGAGAGAGAGAGGACGACAGAGTACAAGCGGGGAGGAGAGGGAGAAGCACGCTCCCTGCAGAGCAAGGAGCCTGATGTGGGGCTCCATCCCAGGACACTGGGATCATGACCTGAGCTGAAGGCAGACGCTTAACCAACTGAGCCACCCAGGCGCCCCTGCCATTTCTTTTAAGTGTAAACCACAGGAGAGTAACTTGTCCTTTTATACTCTATCACCAACACTTAAAATAGTACCTTGCACATAGGTGGTTCAGATGTTTGGAGTGACCCATGAGCACTCGTTATATGCCAGGTGTAGGTTTTAGGTTTTTAAGTACCCAGCGCCAAAACCCAATCAGTTTTTTTCACATTTGTCAGGAAAACCCAACCTGAACGGACATTCTCTTTACGCCACATAATGGAAATAAACATTCATACACTTTACTAAGAAATAGCCATGTCACAGAACACTGCTGCCTCACCAGTGATGGGTCATGTTCCCTAACAAACCACATTATCTACTACATACCATCTCAAAATATTAAAACTCCAAAACCCCGAACACCTGTTCCTAGGATTTTGAATAAAATACTTTTGTTCTAATGTCCACAACTCCTACTACTGCTATCCACATCTCAGATTAAGAAATGAGGGCCAGGACTTAACAGCAACTTCAGTTGATGAAAGCATTACTTCGTCTGTAAACAAACAGAACCTCTAATATGTAGAGAGAGCAAAAGTGGATGGGAAGTCAGCACGTTCAACCAGTCCCAGAATTTTCTATCATTTTCCGAACTCCTAACCCAAAGTAATGAGCTTTAGGTCTGCTAAGTTATCTCCAGATAAGCATACATGAGTAGCTCAGGGAAAATTTCAAGTAAAATTTTAATACTCTAGAGAAGCATCAGATACAAGGCTTAGTAACAAGGGCCCATCTTGACCCTCTTCCCAGTATTTTTCCCCTAAAATACTTAAAATACTTCCCCTAAAATACTTAAAACTCCTGCTAAACACATAATAGGTGGACTTTCTAATATGTGCACAAGATGCTACAGACAAAATTAAGCAAACCCTAAACTGCATAATTTCCCCTACCTTCTTTGTTTAGGGGCTTTCTCACAACATACTGGCGGACATCATCTTCTTTAGAGAGATTGAAAAGTTTGCGGATTCTGCTGGCTCTTTTGGGCCCCAGGCGACGAGGCACAGTAGTATCAGTGAGTCCAGGAATATCCTTCTCCCCTAAAAGAAGAAAGTGATCAGACCTTTTAATTCCACAACTTTTTTACAAACAAGAACCGTTAATTACTGTTTATGCATTGGTAAAGAAACAAGTCCAATGGTCAAATTGTGGATACTGCAAGTGAAAATGAAAAAGCATTTGGGTAATCAGCCTTTAAAATCAATGTAAACAGAAACTCAACTCAAGAACACAAGTAAACCTCACCTTTTTTTACAATGACCAAGTTGAGAACACTGAGATTGGCATCCACAATGCAACCCCGAACAGATTTGCGCTTTCTCTCTCCAGTCCGCCTTGGTCTATAGCAGGAATGCCCCTTACTCAGCAGCAGGCGGACACGACCATGGGTCAAGACACCCTGCTTCATGGGGAAGCCTTGTTTGTCATTGCCACCACTGATTCGGACCACATAACCCTGCAAAATACGACACGTTGTAAAATAAAGGATTATAGCCCTTAAATCCTAGGAAGTGTACTAAAACAATTTGAAATTTACAGTTTTCTCTGGTTACTAAGTTTTGTCTATATCTTCAATTTGCCAAGATTAGCAAATTCCTTTCAAGTCCTATTTCTAACCTGTTTTACTAGATTTAACAGTTCCAGCGAGGGAAAGATTGTTAAGAAACCAAAGTACAAACGAGCTACCAAACAGAACAACCCTTGTTAGCACTTTTTAAAGAACTTTTAAGATTTTATTTATTTCACAGAGAGAAACACAACGAGAGAGGGAACACAAGCAAAGGGAGTGGGAGAGGGAGACGCAGGCCTCCCGTGGAGCAGGGAGCCTGATGTGGGGCTCGATCCCAGGACCCTGGGACCATGGCCTGAGCCGAAGGAGACGCTTAATGACTGAGCCACCCAGGCGCCCCTTAAAAGAACTTTATTTTCCCCTTTGATGTACACAGAACCCTGCAAGGTGATAGCTCTAAAGAGACATGTGAAAGTAACCCAAGCAAGGTCAGAAGACAGAACCCGGGAGTAGTTCCTACTCCGCTACATACACCAATTACCAATAGCGTTGACTATTTCTTCAACAGCTAAATACAATTTAATTCAGTAACCAACCTTCCATTCTTCACCCAGAGCATCAGCAGCAACTTCTGTGGCCATACGCTTCTCATAAAACGTACGAAGTTTGCGTTCATCGTCCACTTCAATGAGTTTCTGGCAGCCAGTAGCTGGGAAAGAGATGTTCAGCTAAGAATTAAAGTGGGGGGGGGGGGAGAAGAACTTTAGAAAACCGCAGAACCACCAGAAAGCCTTTTATATAACCCCCAGACGAGAAGCAGATACTTTGACATGTCGGTTTGGTTAGTTAAAGCATGTGTACCCATAATAACGCACAAACACCGCACTAATAATGGGGCTAAGTTTTCGTCAAGCCTCGCGGAAAGACCCCGGGGACGAAGGGCCCTCCGCAGCCTTTCAGCCTGTCAGAGCAAAGAGCCCGACCCGCGGGCCGCCAACTGGGCAGCAGGGCCACATCTGCCGGGCTGAGCGTGAGGACGCCAACATGGCGCTCCCCGCCCGGCGCGGCTCCAGCTGTAATCGCTCGCCATCCGCTCTCCCAAGGACCCCTGGACCCGAGAGCGGCAAGCTTTCTCCCGCCTCAGACCCTTCTCCACCTACAGCTAGGACTCTGGAGAGGTAGGACTGTGACAATGCGGTGTTCTGGGGCTCGGCCCACCTTCCCCCAGCCCATTTCAGAAGTCTCCACCACTCCCTACCTTCATCCTGAAGCAGCCTACCGCCTCCGAGGCGCCACGAAAAAGAGGCCCGACTTTCGCTTCGCCCACGTCTCATAGGCACTTCTAGTTCTCGCGAGATAAGCGGACGGCTGGGATAGCGGAAGTGAGCGCCGGTGGGCGGTACTTCCGGAGCCGGGGCTAATTAGCATAGGGGGGTAGGCTCGGCGGGCAGTGAGTAACCGCGGCTACGCTGTGCCAGCTTGTTTCCGAAGGTTGGGTTCTCGGCAGGTTCGTCTGTCCCGCGCTGTCCAGAGCCAGGGTGGAGTTGGTCCCGATCACTCTGCCTTTGCTGGTACCATAGAAGGGCAGGACCGGAGTTCAGTTCTCTTACGCTCTCCTGTACCTTATACACCGTCTGAAGATTTTTAGTTCTTTTTAGTTCAGAAGCTTGCCCTGCTCTCGTTCCGGCTGTTCGCAGCAGGACGCCCTGAAAGCCGTGGTTTGTTTTTCTGCATGTCCTCTAACTGCTCTGCCGTCATCGTCGTTCTGTCCCAGAATAACACCTTCCCTTTCGCTCAGGCCAATAACCACAATTACCCTAAGTCCGGGCCACCATCCGTGCGTCCCAAATGGTCTCCCTGGCTTGTGTCTTGCCTCTGGATCTTTTTACAACGCAAAATTACATCGCTGTTGCTGGAAATGCACCATTTTCCATAGCAGTTAAATACTTTCCAATCTCCTGTCCCTGACCTCAAACTTCCCACAGATACACCTGTTGTCATTTGTTAATATCATGTAGGTCGTTCAGATTAGAGGTCCCAAGAAAAACCTTTGCTGTCCACGCTACCTAAAATAAAATAGTATCCCACATTTTATCTCTGGTAGAGCACTGTTTTCCTTTCTCATACTTAATGCTACATAAATGGTATGTTTATGGTCTATGCCCTCTTCTAAATGATAACTGATAAATCCTGTCTAAACTTCACTATGGAGCACTTAGGACACAGCAAAGTGCATGGCACATAAAAAATAAGCACTCAGTAAATATTTGTTAAATTATCACAACCCCAGCTCTGATAGGTATTAGCCTATTACAGTGTGGTAGTATGGAACCAGCCAGTAGAGGGAGAATAAGTGAATGTATTATAGTAAATCTTGAATCCGCAGTGATGCAACTCTTAATAGTACACAAGACATGAGAAAGTGCATTTGATAGTCCTCCAGAACATTCCTGGGAAGACAAGAATGGGAACCCAGGTGGTCTAACTCTGAAGCCCACACTCAGTATTCTGAAGGAAGGAACGTTTATTGTCTCTTATTTACTCAATATTTTTTTTCAAGAAATAAAAACTCCTGCATTTCATGTAAACAGTAATTTACCTTCCAAGATGATTACATCCCATCTTCCACTTCAGTATCGCAAAGATTTGAGTTTAGGCCTGTTTCACATTCAAAATTTAAAGTCTACTAAATCCTGTTGATCATCTAGTATTAATGTATAGAATGTTGGTGAAATGACACATTCAAAACCTGTGGAATTTTTTGGTAACGAGGTGAAACTGATATAACAAAATTAATCATTTTTAGGTAAACAAGTCATTGGCATTTAGTACATTGACAATGTTGTGCATCCACCACCTCTATCTAGTTCCAAAAGGAAATCGTGTCCCCATTAAACAGTTGCTCCCCATTCCCCTTTTCCTGCACCCAGTGGCAACCACAGTCTGAGTTCTGTCTCTATGGATTTACATCTTCTGTAATGGAATTATACAATATGTGACCTTCATGTCTAGCTTACATTTTTGAAGTTCATCCACATTGCAGCATTTATCAATACTTCATTCCTTCTTATGATTGAATGATATTCCACTATATGTATAGAATATAATTTGTTTATCCATTCATTCATCCACTGATGGACATTTGGGCCATTTCCAACTTTTAACTGGTGAGTAGCGCTAGTGCATTTGAGTACCTGTATAATTCTTTGGGGTATATACCTAAAAGTGGAATCACTGGGTCATATTCTGTGTTTAACTCCTGGAAGAACTGCCAAACTGTTTTCACAGCTGCTGAGCCATTTTACATTCCCACCAGCAATGAGTGTTTCCATTTCTCCACATCCTAGCCAACACTTGTTATTTTGTTATTTTCTTTTTTTTATTATATCCATCCTAGTGGGTGTGAAGTGGTACCTCATTGTGGTTTTGATTTGCATTTCCCTAATCACGAATGATGTTAAGCATCTTTTCATTTACCTGTTGGCCTTTTGTATATCTTCCTTGGAAAAATAGGAAACTATTCAAGTACTTTGCCCAATTATGTTTTTTAGCTCTAATTGTTTTCATTGAAGTAGTAGTAATAGTGAGTTAATGTGAGACAAAGTAAAATCCAGGACTACTCCTCAGATTTGTCTTCTTTTTATGTATTTTTTTTATTGTAAAAAACACAAAATTTACCATCTTAATCACTTCTAACTATACAGCTCAGTAGTGTTAAATATAATCGCAGGGGCACCTGGGTGGCTCAGTTGCTTAAGCGTCTGACTCTTGATTTCAGCTCAGGTTATGATCTTAGGGTTGTGAGATCGAGCCTCGCACGTTGGTCTTTGTGCTGAGTGTGGAGCCTACTTAAGATTCTCTCTCTTCCTGTCCCTCTCCCACTTGCTCATGTGAGCTCTTTGTCTCTTTCAAATAAATAAACCTTTAGAAATATGTATATAATCACATTGTTGTGAAACAGATCCTCAAAACTTTTTCATCTTGCAAAACTGGAACTCTATAACCATTAAACAACTCCTCCTCCTCCCCACCCCACCCACCCCACCCCTGGTAACCACCATTCTACTTTGTTTATATAAAGTATCTCAAGTAGTCAGATTCATAGAAATGGAATCATAGAGATGGAATCATATCTTTTTGTGATTGCTTATTTCACTTAACATAATGTCTTCAGGGACGCCTGGGTGGCTCAGTTGGTTAAGCGTCTGCCTTCAGCTCAGGTCATGATCCCAGGGTCCCGCGATCAAGTCCCATATAGGGCTCCCTCCTCAGCGGAGAGACTGCTTCTCCCTCTCCCTCTGTTGCTCCCCCTGCTTGTGCTCTTTCTCTTTCTCTGATAAATAAATAAATTAATTAAAAAAAAACATGTCTTCAAAATTCATTCATGTTGTAGCATGTAGAAGCCTTCCTTTTTAAAGCTGAGGAATATTCCTTTGCATCTATATACCACATTTTGTTCATTCATCTGTTGATGAGTATTTGGGTTACTTCCACCGCTTAGCTGCTATGAATAATACTGCTATGGCAGGTGAGAATTCTACCACTGAACCACCAATGTGTGAATAATGCTGCTATGAACATATATGTGCATATACCTGCTTAAGCCCCTGCCTGCTTTCAATTCTTTTGGATATATACCCAGAAGTGGGATTGCTAGATCATATAGCAGTTCTATTTTTAATTTTTTAAAGATTTTTATTTATTTCAGACAGAGAGCTCAAGAGAGCACAATCGGGGTGGGGGAGGGACAGAGGGAGAAGCAGACTCCCCACTGAGCAGGGAGTCCCATGCTGGCTCGACCCCAGGACCCCAAGATCATGACCTGAGCTGAAGGCAGAAGCTTAACCAACTGAGCCACCTGGGCGCCCCTATTTTTAATTTTTTGAGGAAACTCTGTACTATTTTTCAGAATGGTCACACCATTTTGTAATCTCATTAGTAGTATACAAGGGTTGCTTACTCATTTTGAATTAGCATGTCTTGTTGAGTTGTAAGAGTTCTTTGCATATTCTGAATATTACACCTTTGTTAGATATATGATGTGCAAATATTTTCTCCCATTCTGTAGGTGTCTCCACTTTCTTGATAATGTCTTTTGATGTACAAGAGTTTTTTAATTTTAATGAAGTCCAACTTATCTTTTTTTTTCTCTATGATCATGCTTTTGGTGTTATATCTGAGACAAATCCATTGCCAAATCCAAAGTCAAGATGATTTACCCCTATATTTTTTTTTAAGATTTTTACTTATTTGAGAGAGAGAGAGCATGAGTAGGGAGGAGGGGCAGAAGGAGAGGAAGAAGCAGAGTCCCCACTGAGCAGGGAGCCTGACATGGGGCTGTATTCCAGGACCCTGGAATTATGACCTGAGCGGAAGGCAGGTAAGTATCGCCTGAGCCACCCAGGAGCCCTGTGTTTTCTTTCAAGAACCGTATGGCTTGAGTTCTTATATTTAGGTTGTTGATCCATTTTGAGTTAACTTGTTAATATGGTGTGAGGTAGTGAATCCAACTTTATTCTTTTACATGTAGATATCCAGCTGTTCCACCACCATTTTTTAATGAGACTATGCTTTCCTTCACTGAATGATCTTAGCACCCTTGTTGAAAATCAAATGGCCATAAATGTATGAGTTTATGAGTCTGGACTCTCAATTCTATTCCATTGGTCTGTATGTCTATCCTTATGCTAGTATCCTGGTGTTTTGATTTGTAGCTTTGTAGTAAGTTTCAGAATTCAGGAAGTCTGAGTCCTTGATTTGGTGGTTCTTTTCAAGATTGTCTTAGCTCTTTGGGATGCCTTATAATTCCATATGAATTTTATGCCTGTTTATGCAAAATATGCCCCCTTGAAATTTTGAGAGAGATTACATTTAATCTATGGATCAGTTTTACCATCTTTACAACATTGAGTTTTCCAGTTCATAACACAGAATGTCTTTCCATTCATTTAGGTCTTCTTTAATTTATTTCAGCGATGTTTTGTGGTTTTCAGCTTGCAAGTCTTTTACCTCCTTGATTAATTTTATTCGTAGGTATTTTATTCTTTGGGATTGTTTTCTTAATTTCCTTTTCAGATTGTTCATTGCTGGTGTGTAGAAACATAACTGATTTTTGTGCGTTCATCTTATTTCTTAAGACTGCTGAATTTATTAGTTTTCTTGTGGACTCTTTGGGATCTTCTATTTATGATCATGTCATCTCTGAATAGAGATAGTTTTACCTCTTTCTTTTCAGTTTGAGTGCTATTCATTCATTCATTCCTAATTGCTCTGCCAAGACCTTCCAGTACAATGTCAACTAGCAGCGTTGAAAGCAGGCATCCTGTGTATGTAGTCTTGTCAGTTTT